TCAAACAAATGAAATGGAAAGCCCAGAGAGAGGGCTTAAAAGTCAAAGAGTTCTTGTTCCCAGCACCCACATGACAGCTTAAACCACCTTTAACTTCAGTGCCAGAGGATCAGATACCTTCATCTGGCTTCTGCAGACACATGGTACACAGACATACACACATGTAGGCAAAACACCTACACACATAAAAATAAATATTTTTAAATGAGGTGAAGAGTAACTGGGGAAGATGCCTAATGTTGATCTCTGGTCACAACAAACATGCACAAATACACAAAGGCACAAAAGTGGATAGTACCCGAGGAAGCATACCCGAGGTGGTCTTCTGACCTGCATTCATATGCATATGTGAATGCACATACACAAACACAAGAACATGCACACATGCAAATACATATCCAAAACCGTATGCTTCAATTTATCCACCCTTTTACTTATACTTTTAAAAGTCTACAATAATATAAATGTTTTCAATTCTACTGGCATTTTTTCTCTAGCTGAGTTTATATTTTTAAATTGAAAATACTTTAGAAATTTCCACTAATAAATGCATTTCTTACAATATTTCTCAGATGTAAAAGAGAGGTCTGAGCAGACAGGCCTCTGCTATGGTAGTGCACACCTATTTAACAACTACTTTCAATGGGCCAGAAATCCTTGTCAAGTGCTGAATGGCTCTCGTGGCATTTGTTTTGAAGCCAGCTGTCACCATCAAACAGATGATGATACATTTCCACAAGACTCATTTCAGAGTCTAGTAAGTACCTAATCTAACTAGTAATCAAAAACAACTAGATTTTACTATAAAATAATGATCTTCATAGTTCTAAGAAACATGTTTACATTAGTGATACTATCAGACCACTCAGCTATTCAGTTCAATAATTTGTCACTAGAGACATGAAACCCAGTTTAAGACCCAGAAGGAGCCAGGCAGTGATGGCACACGCCTTTAATCTCAGCACTCAGGAGGCAGAGGCAGGCGGATCTCTGTGAGTTCGAGGTCAAAATGGTCCACAAGAGCTAGTTCCAGAACAGGCTCCAAAGCTACAAAGAAACCCTGTCTCAAAAAACCAAAAAAGAGAGAGACTCAGAAGGGTAGGTATAGTCGTAGAAATATATCGATAACTATCTATAAATGATTAAATGGAGCTACAGGATAGTTCAGATAGTAAAAATACCTGCTGCCAAGTATGACGACCTGAATTCAATCCCCAAAACTCACAATGGTGGAGGGATTAAACTAACATCCACAACTTGTCTTATGACTGTCACAGGTATGCTATCATATATGGTCCTCCCTGTGATAATATCTTGTTTGTACTCTAACAAATAAAGATTTCCTGGAGACCAGAGGGCAGAACTAGCTAGCCACTAGTTAACCAGAGGTCTGGAGGTCTATACAGATAGACAGGAAGTGATATGGCTGGAAGGAGAGAGGGATATAAGGGGGAGAAGACAGGAGCTTACTCCCTTTCAGCTGAGGAGTTAGCAAGGTAAGAGCTGGCTGTGGCTTGCTCCTTTATCTTTCTGATTTTTCAGTATTTACCTGGATATCTGGTTCTGGGTTTTTATTATTAAGATCAATTAGAACTCATGCAACCCCCCCCCCACATAAATCAATAAATAAATAGATAGATAGACAGATAAATAGATAGATGTAAAGAATTTCTTAAAAGTTAAATGTAGCTTATATCATTTACAATAGAAAAGAAAGTAGTTTTACAAATATTATAAACCTATTTCTTTTTTTTAAAATATTTATTTATTTACTATGTATACAATGTTCTGTTTGTGTGTATGCCTGCAGGCCAGAAGAGGACACCAGACCTCATTACAGATGGTTGTGAGCCACCATGTGGTTGCTGGGAATTGAACTCAGGACCTTTGGAAGAGCAGGCAATGCTCTTAACTGCTGAGCCATCTCTCCAGTCCCTCCCTATAAACCTATTTCTAAGTCAGGAAAAGATAAATACTGAAGATCCCAATGTCAAAGTTGCCAAAAAAGGCCAGAAGTACAATTTTAAAGAAAATAAAATCAAATTACAAAAGATTCTCATATCAATGGGAAACTATATTATATGACATTATAATGCTCTGAATTTTCTGAATTTATACATGTTTGTACAAACCATTGACTGTTTCAGCTGAGGACCAGTTGTTACCTGAGACTTTCATGCTAGCTTCCATTAGCTAAAATAGCAAGCAACGGGTGGCTAGAATTTTGTGCATTCATCCTCTGAGATACCTATTTTTCCACCCTTGAAGTCAGGAAAAAGGATAATTATTTCTATGTTTTATTTGTGTTTTACATATATAATCTTTTTTAAAAAATATTTATTTATTTATTTATTTATTTATTTATTTATTTATTATGTATACAATATTCTGTCTGTGTGTATGCCTGCAGGCCAGAAGAGGGCACCAGACCCCATTACAGATGGTTGTGAGCCACCATGTGGTTGCTGGGAATTGAACTCAGGACCTTTGGAAGAGCAGGCAATGCCCTTAACCTCTGAGCCATCTCTCCAGCCCTACATGTATAATCTTTTAAAATCAAGAACTAAATATAAATAAATAGGTAGTCTAAGTATTTAAATATACAACTGTAATTACTGCTCTGATGACAGTGTACTTAATAAAAGCACCAGAAAATCAGCTAAAACAGAATAAAATATTCTAAAATACTACTTTGATAACTATTGCAAAAAAAATCATAAGATTACTACTAACCCCTAAGATGACTAGTTAGTAGAGGACTATAGTCCTTGAGTGTGCAGGCAGAGGTGAGAATAAAATTCCATCCATTCATTCATTAATGAAATAGAATTAAGTCACTAAAATGTTCATTTAATGCTGCTGTTTACCCAGCAGGCTGCTGCTATCAAAGCCACAAAAGTCAGACCTGAAAGGCCATAGAAGTTATACAGAAGTAAGATACCTCCAGATCAGTGGTAAGAACAGGGACACTGCTTCAAGAGAAATCTCAGACTCTAAGAAATGGAACCATTTTGTAATCTTCTTTGAGAGGACCAGTGAGCACAGAGGCTCATTTTCTACCCAGATGTGTTGGTTCGGTGATGAAATAGCAGCATGAACAAAGCACTTATCTCAGGAATTGGCAGATCATTGGTAAATGTACCTTGTAGGAAGAGTAAGCTCTACAGTTGGTAAACCACATTTCAAGTAATGAATGGGTCACATGTTTAAGGAGTAAATAAAGTTTCTGTTCATGGAGGTGGAATATGTCCTAAGTGAGGCACACCCCACATTAGCTGGAAAGAAGTTGCAGGTGGAAGGTACTAACAAAGAGAGAGGAGGACAGGGGCTGGGAGGAATGTTCAGTCAGTCAAGTGGCTGCAGTGTGAGCACGAGGGTCTGCACTCCATCCCAGAACTAGGTTAAAAACAAAGCTGGGAGGAATGGGTGGCACATGCTTATAACCCTAGCTAGGGAGTCAGACAGTTTGATTGCTAAGGTTCACTAATAGTACCCTAATAAAACAGGTACTCCTAAGAAGAGATGACATTGTCGTCTCTTTAATCATTTAGTCATTAAATGACTATAAAGCTATAAAGGCACTCTATGAGGTACCTACTATAGTATATCTGCTTTGAACTGGGCACTTTTTTTTTTTTACCATCTTTCGCTCTTTCGCCTTAATTTCCAACAATAGCAGCTTCTCAGCAGGGGAGTTAGCCCATCAGTTTCCCACTACTACATCACTGAACTCTGTTTACCTGGTATCCCGTCTAGCTTTATGTCAAATGACACAAGCTGGGGTCATTTGGGAAGAGGGACCCTCAGTAGAAAAAGATGTCTGATTTGCCTGTAGGCAAGCCTGTAGTGGATTTTTTTTAAAAATTTCTATTCATTTTGCATTTTGTATCTTTCTTTCTTCCTTCCTTCCTTCTTTTCTGTCTTTCTTTCTTTCTTTCTTTCTTTCTTTCTCTTAATTACTGATTTATGTGGAAGTGCCCAGACTACTATGGGCGGTATCACCCTGGAGCAGGTGGTTCTGAGGATCTATAAGAAAGCACGTGGAGCAAGCCAATAGGGAGCACTCCTTCATAGCCTCTGCATCAGGTCCCGCTCCAGGTTCTTGTCCTGTTTGGGTTTCTGGCCTGACTTCCCTCACTGATAGACTGTGACATGAACTGAAATAAACGCTTTTTTATCCAAGCTGCCTTTGATTATGGTGTTTTATTGTAGCAATAAAAACCTAAACTAAGACACCTAGATACTATTTATTATTCTCACATACACAAGGGGCAGGGTGTTACAAAAATTAAATGTTTTAGTATCTGTGCAAGGTAGATCTAAATCTTAAAGCCACATTTCAAAATGGAAACTAAGATTACAGTTTTTATTTACTAAAACTGTTCCTTCCATTTACAGTCCTGTCTTTGCTTATTCTTTCTAATAAAGAGTCATAAACACACATAACAGAGACCTAATTAAGAAGCAGATGCATATAAAACAAACGCCATGAACAGCAATGGCAGAACTTTTCAAGTTATCACAAGGCTGAGCAGGGCAATCTGACAGTGGAGTGCTACCACATCTATACTGTTCAAATATGCTATTACATATTTATAACCTTAAATGCTCTTTGAATAAAAAAAATGAAAGAAAAATAAACTATTTTCTAACTGACAAACATCTGTGTTCTCTCATTCACCTCCAAAGCTGGGGTTTTACACTGTCATGTAGAAAACAGACATATTGCATGTTATGTCAGTCACATGTTTTGTTAGCCTTTTTACTACATAAATATCTATGAATCATTCTTAAATTATTACTACAGAGATCTCAGTGTTAACATGAGCCAACCCTTGCACAGTTATATTTTAGTCACCATGTGAGTCTAAGAACTAATACTTGATGGAGTAGTTTTGAAAGCCCATGAGCAGTCAGTGTGCACAGCTCACCTTAACCTACACTGGTTTTACCTTGTGTTTACCCAGCAGCATTGCTAGTAGCTACATAAAATCGCAGACCTGTTTCTCAGCACTGGTCCTGGCTGATTCCTCTTGTGCCAGCACCATTTCACGCTCTGCAGTTATCTGTACACTTTCTCTCAGTGCTTCTTCCAGCTCTTCAATCCTGTTATCCTTCTTACGGAGACTGTCCTGGAAAACGATGAAGACTTGGTGAAGGAGGTCAATCAGAACTCAGCAAGTGCCTACTCATCAAGGAGATATTTAATTATTAACATCCTTCTCTTCAGAAGCAAATTGAGGCCAGAAAGATGCCTCCATAGGGTAAAGAACTGAGCAAGGGAAGAAGAGAAGTAAAGGAAGATGAGGTCTATTATTAAGAGCATAGGATCAAGTTAGTGAAGCAAGACAGGCATGATAGATTTGCTCTCTGCGACAGAGAGAAGGTGTTAGATGGCATAAGTAGTGAGAGGCTAACTATTTAAAAACATAAAACTATTTTTAAAAGCTACTACGAAACTGAGTTGAAAGTCAGTTCTGATGGAGCTTCTACTAAGAGTCAGTTCCACAACGCTCATTCCCTTTGAGAAGTCACACCTGCATGACAAACTCAATTATATAGACAATTTCTGATAAACTTTTTAAAAATGAAGATGCTTTCTAACATTTCAAGAAAGTGAAACTCTATTCTCATGAAAAAATGGAAAACAACTGTGTGTGTGTGTGACTAGTTTGACTATGAATGAACAATTTAGTTAAGCAAATAATATGCCCTAGGATTTTAAAGTGCAACTTCCCATCCATACAACCAGTTTTTAGGATCCCAAAGTGGTAGGAAAGAAAAAAGAAAAAGCTAAGAAGACTGGAACCAGAGATGCTTCAGACTATTAAAGTCAGTGGATTCAAAACACAGTATTGCCTTTTATTAAAGTATGAAAATGAGTAGCAAGATTGTTGATATGAAGAATAAAAGCAAGCCCTTAACTCCTAGTATATGTCAACCCAAAATGAACTAAAGAACTGAAGCTAGAAACAGGTGTAGTAACTTCCACCTAAACAGCACCACAAGCCTGAGGCAGATGGGTCTCCATGAATTCAAGGCCATCTTGAACTACAATGGAAAATGGTGTCGCAAAAAAGATGAGGAAAGGGGAAAAGAACAAAACAAAACTAAGAAACTACTTTGGGAAGGGATACTAAAAATCTACTGGAGGTGCCTTTATGATATTGGGTTGGGAATAGAATTTTTGCTTTTGGGCTTTTTTTTTTTTTAAAAAAAATAAAACTTCAAAAGCTCTGGCAACAGAAGCAAAATCAGACAGACAGGATTATCTCAGACAATAACAATCTCTGAATTATAGCAAATAATCAAAAGAGCAAAGTAACTCTTAAAAAAGAGAGAACATTCTCAATGATAATCTGACAAGAGCTAATATCCAAAAATACCTATGAACTAAACAGCAAGAAAACAATACAGCTCATTAAAAAAAGGCATAGATACCTTTAAAAAACATAAAAATGGCACACAATTTGGGGGGGAAGATCCTCAACATCACTAACCATTGGAGAAATATAATTAGAAACTACAAAGAGATAACTTGCTCCTTTTAAATCACTATAAGAAAGATAAGAAGTGAGTACTCATGAGGATGTAAACAGGGACATTGTCTCTTTTACATATGGCAAACAGATGGCGATTCTTTATAACATTAAAAATTGAACTACTATATGACTCAGCAACTCTACTCCTGTATATTTACTTGAAAGGAAATTGGTAGATTAGAGAAACATCTATTAGACCTGCTTTACTATGGAACCACATAATGGCATATGGCTAAACAATAGTCAAGAGACAGGATCAACGTGTCAATCAACAGAGGAATGCTATCTTCATGCCAAGGAAATGACTCAACTAATAAAGCTAAGACAACCTGAGTTCAATTCCCTATGACTCACATAAAGGTAGAAAGAAAGAACTAGATCCACAAAGTTGTCCACTGACTTCCATACAGGCACAAGGTATGTCACAAATGTCTCTCCTGATCATACATACATGGACAACAACAACAAAAATAACTTTAAAGTTAAAAAAATTTTCCATGGCAGCCTAACTCAAATAGCACGGCTTCCTATTTTCTTCTTCTCTACTTCCCTAGTACAGACAGTGGCAAGTATCTTTTAAAAAGTCTTTTAAATTTGTCTTTAAGTTCAATTTTTTCCTTATAAAAAAAGAAAATGTGGTAATACTATCAAACCACAGAGAGAGAGAGAGAGAGAGAGAAGAATTTCCTTTATTTTCCATAATGAAGATGACCACAGAGGCCATTGGGTTAACTGAAATGGGCTACGCACAAAAAGGTAAACTGAATATACGGTATCTAAAAAGTTGACTTCACAGAAGTAGAGTATATGATAGCAGTTATATGAGAGATATATTTTTGCCTTGTCTTGTTTTAATCTAAGGTAGTTAACTTAGCATGGATTCTTATTTCCTGAACCTTGCCCCTCTTCTATGGGTGGTTAGCTAATTGTATCAGATTGTGAAGTCAAGCACCCACCAATGGAATGAGCCACAGTCACCACACACAATCAGGGATAAAAGACATAAGGTAGTCTGTGTTGCCAGCACAGACTGGGTTCTTGGGTAGCCATTTTGTAAAAGTATATTTTTGCTATAATACATTTGTAGTGATATTTTGTTTGTGTTTTAACAAATAAAAAGCTTGCCTGAAAATCTGAGTGCAGAGCTAAGCCACTAGAACTAGAGGTCAGGGAGCAGGGTCACACACCTAAATTCCAGGAGATAAAGGAATCTCTGTGAGTTCAAGGCCACCATGGGCTACACAAGATTGAACCTGTCTAAAAGAGAAACAGCTAACACAAATGTGATTCCACCGGGTCTGAAAAAGCATGGGATAAAACCGGACTTGCTGAACATAGTGGACAATGAGGACTACTGAGAACTCAAGAACAATGGCAGTGGGTTTTTGATCCTACTGCACGTACTGGCTTTGTGGGAGCCTAGGCTGTTTGGATGCTCACCTTACTAGACCTGGATGGAGGTGGGTGGTCCTTGGACTTCCCATAGGGCAGGGAACCCTGATTGCTCTTTGGGCTGACAAGGGAGGGGGACTTTATTGGGGAAGGGGGAGGGAAATGGGAGGCGGTGGCTGAGAGGAGGCAGAAATCTTTAATTAATAAATAATTAATAAATAAATAAATTAATTAATTAATTAATAATTTTAAAAAATGTGATTCCAACACTTTGGATCCCATAACTTGAATCTCTCAGCACTAGGGAGGTGGAAACTGGAGTAATATGGCTGGGCAAGGGGGAATCTAAAGCAGGAGACAGGAACTCAGTGCAGTCCAAGGAATGCCCCTGCAGTGTGAGGACAGGATCACCCTTCTGTCTGAGCAGTGGTGGAGGTAAAAGGTCACTCTAGTGACTGCTTGCATTGCTTCTCTGATCCTTCAGCTTTCACCCCCTAATATCTGACTCCGGGTTTTATCTATTAAGACCAATTAGAATTCGTGCTACATACATTTGCTTTTTGTGTTCCTTTTTTGGGAGACACCAAGACCATTCATTAATTATTGCTAAGAAGCTTGTCTGGGATTTCAAACCCAACTATAGTGTTCAGATCCCCGCCTTGAAGAGAAACTTGTCTCTCTCCTTATTGCAGTGACACCCAGGGTGTTGTGGGAGGTCCTTCCGCTCCTCCAGCCAATAGCCGCTGAGATACCAGCCCATTGGGGCGTGGTCTCTCTCTTTAAAAAAGCAGCCACTTCCCTCCTCACTCTCTTTTTGCTTCCTGCTCCATTTCCGGTGACTAGACTCCTTCCTGATTGCACAGAGGGCTGTTGTCTGGGACAATAATCTGTAAGTTTTTTCCCCTTTAAATAAATACCACCCTATTAATCATAATTCCAAACTGGTGTGGGATTGTTTGTGACTTATGCCTTCACCAGGGTTCCTGGTGAAACACTTTTTTGGATCAGCAATGATGGAAAGTTTCAATGATGGAAAGTTTCAATGATGGAAAGGCCCAAATAAGTAAATACCACTTTTTTATTATTTTTTTTAATTTTTAATTTTTTTATTTTTGCCCTACCAAGTCCTGGGTACCCTTGCTTTGTCTCTACTTTTGCCATACAATGACACAGACAGACTAAGGAAAAGAACAGGCTGGTGCCATCTCCTTCCAGGTTCTTTTAGGTTTTATTGTTTTATATGCTCTGTATTTTTTAGATTACAAGACTATTATGTGGTAAATTATAATGTGCCTTTTCTAACATGGGTGCCTAACAGACAGCTTTACAAAGAGAAACTTACCCTGAGAACTACAATGTCTGCCCCCCATCTAAACTGAGAAGTGTAATATGGATTTTTAAATTATAAGTTTGAGGGAAAGGTAAAAAAGATCACTTAAAGGGAACTGTGGAGCTTCAAATCACAAATAAGCAGAAAGCTCTATGTATTATATTATCCTAAAACTTGATTTCTTATTAGGAGGGGAGTCCTTATTAAGTTTTTTAGGCTAATTGTCTCCATTTGCAGGCCTACCCAAACTAATAATAGGTATAAGCTTCCAAGCAGTTGATCATACTAAATCTAGCCAAATCTAGCCAGGAAGGATCTCAGGTTAGACAATGGTAAGGGTGGCTACTTCTATTAGTTTTATCTTCCTCCATCATTGATGCTAAATGTCACTCACCCATGGTCCTATAAAATTTAAGGTATCTATTATGATTATCAACGTGACTAAAACTGGAATCCTAAAACACAAGTAGTTGGACATGCCTGTAAAGGATTTTCTTGATTGACCATTTGAGTGGGAAAACCCACCTTAAGACTAGGCCACACCTTCATAAAGAAGGAAGCTTTGCTTTTTGCTTGCTTGCCTTACTCTCATGCAAGTTCATCAACCCTATTGTTGAGGCATTCCCTTGTTGGTACCAGAACCTACTTCTTCAGGATTCTAATGTAGACTGAAGACCGGCTGAGATATCTGCTTCATGGACTGAACAACTCTGGACTCAAGAGATACCAGACCATAGCTTGCCTATAAGCCACGCTAATCAATCCCATGAGTCTGTTACATCTTACTATAACCTGAGTCAGAAGTCACACATCATCTCTTCTGACTTCCTTTACTATTCACACAGCACAACCCTGGTACCAACCCTGA